ATCTGGAGATCTCGACTGCCAGTGCAAGACGTTGATGTTGGCATTATGGAGGTAGTATACGATGACACGAGCTGTGTGCGATGGAGCGTTGTCCTGTTGAAACAGCTCCCTCTGGCGATCAATGATTGGAAGGTGGTGAGGTTGATTCATGTAGCGATTTGTTGTCAAATTTCCCTGAACCTCAACGAGGTCAGATCTCGTGGTGTAGGATATGGCCCCCACACCATGACGCTACCGCCATCGAAATTGTCGAATTCAGGTACGCTAATTTCGACGACGATAAACACATTGTCTTCCATCTCGCCGGTGAAGAAGAACTCGTGATTCATCGCTAAACCACACTCGTCTCCAGTTTCTCAAATTCCAAGGCTGTAAGGTGTGGCACCAACGCAAGCGTCGCTGTCGATGGATCTGTTGCAAAACAGGGACGATAACTTGTCTTCTGGGTCGAATTCCAGCTTCGCGAAGATGGTTCCTGACAGTCTGGTCCGATATCCTCCCCAAACCAGGGATGCGTCCTGCAGTCTCCGTAGCTGTGGCATTGCGGTGACGTAGATGGAACAGTCGAATGTAGCGATCCTCGGCCGGTTCTCGGACAGTCTGCAGTGGAATTGAACTGTGTGTATCGGTCACAGAGGCGACACAGACTGCGATTCCCCTCTTTGGATACGTCCTATGGCGATGTTCCGATCGGAAGCGCTGAGTCTCGGCATTTTCGAACTTGAAAACTGTTGACAATTGAATGACAAATTATAGGCTAATGCTTGCCTTTTTATAGCCACTAACACGAGTAACGACTGCCATAACTTGCACGTGCATTTTGCTTTACTGTTTTCTTTCATGACATTTTTGAACAAGTGTGAAAACAATGCCGTTTAAGACATTGAAAACCGACAATGGCTGCGTTTTGACGCACCGTTTGTCGAATATCGGGCCACCGACATTTTCCAGTAACATATATCCAATGTATATACCGTTTTTTTGTGTAGTCGGGTTTAATGAACTACATACTACCTGTGCGTTTCCTTTTTTGAAGCGTGTATATAATCGCTTCAAAAGCAACAACATTTTAGATAGGTATAAATCACATTTTCCAGCAATTTCCCTGATTGGGTTTATAATAACGTGAGCAATTATTTGTAGCGCGTGAAGGCCCCTTTAATGTATATGTATATGTAGCGTGAAGGCCCCTTTAATGTATAAGTATATGTAGCGTGAAGGCCCCTTTAATGTTTATGTATATGTAGCTTGTGAAGGCCCTTTTAATGTATATGTAGCGTGTGATGGCCCCTTTAATGTATATGTATATGTAGCGCGTGAAGGCCCCTTTAATGTATATGTATATGTAGCGTGTGATGGCCCCTTTAATGTATATGTATATGTAGCGCGCGAAGGCCCCTTTAATGTATATGTATATGTAGCGTGTGATGGCCCCTTTAATGTATATGTATATGTAGCGTGTGATGGCCCCTTTAATGTATATGTATGTGTAGCGCGTGAAGGCCCCTTTAATGTATATGTATATGTAGCGTGTGATGGCCCCTTTAATGTATATGTATATGTAGCGTGTGATGGCCCCTTTAATGTATATGTATATGTAGCGTGTGATGGCCCCTTTAATGTATATGTATATGTAGCGTGTGATGGCCCCTTCAATGTATATGTATATGTAGCGTGTAATGGCCCCTTCAATGTATATGTATATGTAGCGTGTAATGGCCCCTTTAATGTATATGTATATGTAGCGTGTGATGGCCCCTTTAATGTATATGTATATGTAGCGTGTGATGGCCCCTTTACTGTATAAATATATGTAGCGTGTGATGGCCCCTTTAATGTATATGTATATGTAGCGCGTGAAGGCCCCTTTAATGTATATGTATATGTAGCGTGTGATGGCCCCTTTATTGTATATGTATATGTAGCGTGTGATGGCCCCTTTAATGTATATGTATATGTAGCGTGTGATGGCCCCTTTAATGTATATGTATATGTAGCGTGTGATGGCCCCTTTAATGTATATGTATATGTAGCGCGTGAAGGCCCCTTTAATGTATATGTATATGTAGCGCGTGAAGGCCCCTTTAATGTATATGTATATGTAGCTTGTGATGGCCCCTTTAATGTATATGTATATGTAGCGCGTGAAGGCCCCTTTAATGTATATGTATATGTAGCGTGTGATGGCCCCTTTAATGTATATGTATATGTAGCGTGTGATGGCCCCTTTAATGTATATGTATATGCAGCGCGCGAAGGCCCCTTTAATGTATATGTAGCGTGTGATGGCCCCTTTAATGTATATGTATATGTAGCGCGTGATGGCCCCTTTAATGTATATGTATATGTAGCGTGTGATGGCCCCTTTAATGTATATGTATATGTAGCGTGTAATGGCCCCTTTAATGTATATGTATATGTAGCGCGTGAAGGCCCCTTTAATGTATATGTATATGTAGCGTGTGATGGCCCCTTTAATGTATATGTATATGTAGCGTGTGAAGGCCCCTTTAATGTATATGTATATGTAGCGCGTGAAGGCCCCTTCAATGTATATGTATATGTAGCGCGTGAAGGCCCCTTTAATGTATATGTATATGTAGCGTGTGATGGCCCCTTCAATGTATATGTATATGTAGCGCGTGAAGGCCCCTTTAATGTATATGTATATGTAGCGTGTGATGGCCCCTTAATGTATATGTATATGTAGCGTGTGATGGCCCCTTCAATGTATATGTATATGTAGCGTGTGATGGCCCCTTTAATGTATATGTATATGTAGCGCGTGAAGGCCCCTTCAATGTATATGTATATGTAGCGTGTAATGGCCCCTTCAATGTATATGTATATGTAGCGTGTGATGGCCCCTTTAATGTATATGTATATGTAGCGTGTGATGGCCCCTTCAATGTATATGTATATGTAGCGTGTGAAGGCCCCTTCAATGTATATATGTATGTTTATGATCGTACAGGCTAGGCAGGTTAGTGAACTTAGACTGATGTAGACTACTGACACTAGGTGACGATGTGTCATTGGGGAAACACAGGATGTGAGGCATTATTTGTTTCATCGTGAACCGAATGATTTGACACGTGTGGAAGTGATTTCAAGAAATATGCCCCGTAACGTCTTTTGTTTGTTGTTTGTCTGCATAAATAACTGCGTTATGAAGCTATTGCCAGTGTGTGTCCCTCGAAGTTTTCGCAGTACGCTACTGCTCGCAGAACTCTCCAGATTAACAGTATGTATACTCTGCAAAAAAAAAGAAACACAAAAGTAGCAAAATATCTGACAAAGTGTTGCCGATATCCATATAAAATTCATACCAAAAGTGAATTGGTCATTTCTGCATGGATTGGGATTGATTTTTGTTGAAAGAACTGGGTACTACAGACATTTGGTGAAAAGGTGGAAATATCGCAAAAACACAACCACGTGAGAGCCTGGTGCCTAAAACACCAACATGACATGCACGTGCAACATCATTTCCTAGGCTATAAAACGTTGGATTTTCAGTTGCATGCCATCACAATCTTACAGCAAGTAAACAGCGAAAACACGCCACGACTGACGGAAGCTCAACGTGACGACGCAATCGGCCGACTGCAAACAGGAAAATTATCTTCAGTTGTGGCCAGGTTTTCCCAAATAGCACCAAGCACCATTTCAAGTCTGTGGAACCGTTATCAGACACACGGGACAACACGTGTCCCTCCCAGATCAGGTCGACCATGTATCACTAATAGAGCAAAGAACGAATTCACACGGTCACGTCACGTATACGTGAAAGACCACCACGGCAACTTCTACAACTTCGGCAATATCAGGATTTCGAAGTATAAAGGATATCAGCCCAGACAGTGAGGAACCGTTTACGCGCGGAAGGTATTCGCGCCAGACGACCAGTTCGAGGCGTCATTTTGACGGACCTTCACCGTCGGCGGCGTCGTCAATGGTGTCGAGGTAACAGAGTATACCCACAACTGCGATGGAGACAAGTTTGGTTAAGTGACGAGTCACGTTTGTATGCGGGTGGTAGACGTCGTGTTTACAGGCGTCGCGGGGAACGCTATGTACGAAACTGCATACAGGAAGTGGACAGGTTTGGTGGTGGCAGCCATCTCCTACACTGATAGAACAGACTTAGTGCAAGGTCTGGGGCATTCGACGACACAACGTTACATGGATGAGATTCTTCAGCCACACGTCCTTCCCATATGCAACAAGCGATTGTCATTTTCCAACACGACAACGTCCGACCTCACACGACAAGACTGACAACAGCCTTTTCCCGGTCACAACAGCCAGGTCCTGCAATGGCTTCCCAGGTCTCCAGATTTAAACCCAATCCAGGAAGAATTGGACCAACGACTGCAAGCACGTCAACAACCACAGAACTTCCGACAGTTGGCACAAGCACTGCAGGCAGAGTGGGTTAACATTCCCCAGGCCAGAAATCGGGATCTGATTGCTTCCCTGAGATGACTATGCCTATCATTGTTGGACGCTAATGGTGGCCTTACGCTATATTGAGAACAGATGACCTTCACCTTGAAAATCTACTGTTCCATGTGTGTGCCATATGGAACCTGGATCAGTGCGCCAATTTTGAAGATCGATTTCCATCTGTTGATTATTTGTATGATATATATATATAGTATACATGTAAAATAGTGTGTGTGTGAACTTTGACTAAAACTTACGAATTTGAAATAAAAGGTTAAACAAACTTGATAATATAAACATAGATCTACTTACATACTACTACACATGTTCTTGAGGGATGGTCGCAGATAAGATTCCGTCCATTTATTCCTTGATTTAATTCTAAAGGAAACGTTGCAGCTAATTATTTTACAAAAACGCACATATCTTAGAAATGAACACACAAACAGTAAAAAACTCGAAACATGATCTAAATCACTTCATGTATTTTGAAATGAACTATATATTGATCTTTCTTCATCGTCCTGACGTACTGCTCCATCAACCTTCAAGATATGTTTGCGTATAAGCCGGGGGACGATTGGCCTCGTGCAACTCGCTGGGGTGCTTGTTTATCGCAAAAGAAGATAAAGTTTTCTGTATCTTGGAGACAAGGCGTCGCTGTGACTGACTCAATGGCTTTAAAGATTCATGTTGTTTATTGGTAAGTAATGTTATTCAGTAGCGAAGGCGAATCGGTAAGGTTGCGTTTCGGAAGCGATCTGGTTATATCTGAATCCAAACTGCCTGGGTCGCGGTGTCAAGTCTTGACTGTAGGACACCATCGCTGCTCTCCGTTAGGTCACCTTCATATCACCTTCATGTCTGGAGATCGCGTCACGACTGCCTTGACAACCTCACACATTTAGGCGCATAGACTAACTTCATTGAAAAATATCACCGTATTTGACAAGCACTTTGGACCTCAGTTTTTACAGTATTAAAAGGTTTGTAAGACGTGAGACTTCCTAAACATTTTGGTTTGGTTTGTTGTTTTACGCAGCAATCAGCAATATTCCAGCTATATGACGGCGGTCTGTAAGTCATCGAGTCTGGACCATACAATCCAGTGATTTACATCATGAACATCAATCCACTCAACTGGGATCGATGACATGCATCAGTCAAGTCAGCGAGCCTGACCACCCGATCCCTTTAGTTGCCTTTTACGACAAGCATGGGTTGCTGAAGACCTTTTCTACCCGGGATCTTCACGGGTCACTTCACGGGTCACTTCACGGGCCACTTCCTAAACAAAATATGATACAGTCCTAGCAAATAAACCCAGTTGTGAAGATACGGGGGAGGTTAATTTTATAGCATGTTTGTCGACTTGTTGGTTTATTTGAAATTTCAAGCCACACAGTTACTGAAACGAAACATACAAATCATGTGTGTGAAATGTGGATGCCAATCTTTTCCAGCAATAAAACTTTGTCGTTAATTGATGCATCTGACCATTTCTGGTCATTACCATTCATGTGTAATCCGATGTCCTTTTTCCTCAAGGACTAATTTTCTGATTTGCACAGTGTATGCAAAAGAAGAACTGTACTCCGGACATCGTAAATAACAGCATGATATAAAATATGGTCTGAATATGCTTATTCATGAACGACGACATCATCTCAAATTATATGTAATACGGCTGAATTCCACATTCTACATACCACACTCTTCGATTGTTTGGATGCTCATGTTCACTGGAAATATTTGGAATAGTTATATTCTGTATTTTGAATTAACCCAGTTCAGCCATTGGAATTAAATGTACAGCCGTAGCTCTGGTCGCTATCATATATTTTGTGTCCCATGGCTCAAATCTATGTACCGTGTTCAACTGACCTCTATCATCTGTTGGATGAAGGCACATCTCTCTATGGTCAGTCACATCATTAACACCGAAGGCTATGAGGGGTATTTAGGTCATAATCAGCTCCCAGCAGCCACTGCCTCAAGCCATATTGTCCACATAACAGATCAGTTTATGGCCCAGTGACAGGTGCTCCAAATATTGAAGCGGGGAAACAAAAGTCCTGGAATAATTTCAACAAGCAATTTGATATCCCAGTCACTTTTGGTAGCTGTTGATGATGTCTCCATTGCAATTTTTACGGATTTTGATTCGTATGCAGTATTTGCCTCTCAGGGACAAGCAGTTTTACTTGTGTCGGGTAGTATGGATGAATGAGTGAGTTTGGTTTTACGCCGCTTTTAGCAATATTCCAGCAATATCACGGCGGGGGAGACCAGAGATGGGCTTCACACATTGTACCCATGTCAGAGTATGGATGAATTGTTATGTTACATCTAAACAGTACATCAATCATCATCACATGGACTCACACCAGTCATTGTTACAAGTAAACCACATTCCACAACAGTTACTGACACTGGATAAAAAACAGTACATAGAAAAAGACCAAGTAACTCAACTCATCATGATCATAATTACTATTCTTTGAAGGAAAGTAATAAAAAAAAGAAACTGACCGAAACAGTAAAACAAGAGACGAGGAATCTCCGTTATCAATTAGTTCTGGTATTGAAATTTTCTCCAACTACGTGATAATATTTTGAGTATGTCTATCTGTGGTTGTGACAAAAAGATCTTATCTAGAATGACTTTTTAACCATATGGAGCCCTTAGTATTTTCATTTACATTATTATGACCAAATACCTCATTTTGCCAAGTGTAAGAAGAATGTGACCTATTATTTGAGTATGTGCATTGGCCAATGTTGTTGGCAGTTTTGATACTATTTCCACATGTTTACATTTGTGCCAGAAATTGCTTCCTTTTCCTTCGATCTACTTTTTGAATAAAGACCCAGGTTAGAGTAGGTCTTCAGCAACCCATTCTAGCTATAAAAAGGCGACGAACAGGATTGGGTAGTCAGGCTTGCCGATTTGGTTGATGCATGACATCATATTTCAATTGTGTAGACTAGTTCGATGCTCTTGATGTCAATCACTTGATTATTTGGCCCAGACTCGATTATTTACAGTCCATGGTCAAAGAGCTGAAATAATGCTGAGTGGGCGTTAAATAATGATGCGTTTGTGAGGCATCACGTATGCAGGGAACTTTGATGCTCAGCATAAATGTTTTCTTGTTAATGTTAATGTACCCGCCGTGATATTGCTGAAATATTGCTAAAAGCGGCGTAAAACCAAACTTACTTACTACTCTTGTTAATGTAATTTGCAGCTTAGTTCAGCAAGTCAGTTACCTCCCTTGCCTCCAGAAGATGCATTATTGTTGCCATGCCTGGAGTAGAGATTTTGTTGGTAGAAGAGGCAACAACAACAAACAACATCTTTAAATCATTTTTTAATATGAAATTTCTTTCATTTCAGTGGTGCCTGAGGATACGCCCCAAAGGTATGTTGTCAGTCAAACATACTTGATTGATTGAATATCAGTTTTTATTTACTGAAGGCGATTCAGTATGTGACTGGGTTGACCTTGTAGGCTGAGGCAGCCCTGTGAATATGAGGCGGCTAGATCGGTTGGAGGGTCCGGCTCTTGGCTCGTGACCTACTTCACTGCTCGTGATCTACTTCACTGCGTGTCATCCTCCCCTGATGGTGTGGGATGTCACTGGATTGTCTGGTCCTGACTCCATTATACTACTCAAAGTATCAATACCAGGATCACATTTGGCATTTGTTGAAATAGCAAAAGACAATATTGCACCAAGATGGTTAATGAATAAATGAATCCAAACATCTGGCATCAATTCCATAGTGTATTTGCTGATGTGTGGATTGCGACACAGTTTTGAATGATCAAGACGTTACTGTTGTCCGTTGTGTTGATATAAAGTCTTACTTTGCATGTTCCAGTATGATGAGGTGAAGAGACGCTTAGAGAGAGAGTTTCCTGGCAAGCTGGACATCGTAAGTACCGCCTCTCTACATAAGTAAACCTAAATTGTAAATATCTCGTGTTAACGTAAATAAATGTAAATTGAAAGTACCTTGTGTGAAACCGTTTCTCTTTGTCAGACTGGCGAGGGGACACCAAGCATGACCGGCTGGTTGGAGGTCCAGATTGTCGGAGGGAAACTGCTGCACTCTAAGAAGGTGGGTTGTATAAACTGCTGCACTCTAGGAAGGTTGGTTGTATAAACTGCTGCACTCTAGGAAGGTTGGTTGTATAAACTGCTGCACTCTAGGAAGGTCGGTTGTATAAACTGCTGCACTCTAGGAAGGTCGGTTGTATAAACTGCTGCACTCTAGGAAGGTCAGTTGTATAAACTGCTGCACTCTAAAAAGGTCAGTTGTATAAACTGCTGCACTCTAGGAAGGTCAGTTGTATAAACTGCTGCACTCTAAGAAGGTCGGTTGTATAAACTGCTGCACTCTAGGAAGGTCAGTTGTATAAACTGCTGCACTCTAAAAAGGTCAGTTGTATAAACTGCTGCACTCTAGGAAGGTCAGTTGTATAAACTGCTGCACTCTAAGAAGGTCGGTTGTATAAACTGCTGCACTATAGGAAGGTCAGTTGTATAAACTGCTGCACTCTAAAAAGGTCAGTTGTATAAACTGCTGCACTCTAGGAAGGTCAGTTGTATAAACTGCTGCACTCTAGGAAGGTCGGTTGTATAAACTGCTGCACTCTAGGAAGGTCAGTTGTATAAACTGCTGCACTCTAAGAAGGTCGGTTGTATAAACTGCTGCACTCTAAGAAGGTCGGTTGTATAAACTGCTGCACTATAGGAAGGTCAGTTGTATAAACTGCTGCACTCTAAAAAGGTCAGTTGTATAAACTGCTGCACTCTAGGGAGGTCAGTTGTATAAACTGCTGCACTCTAGGAAGGTCGGTTGTATAAACTGCTGCACTCTAGGAAGGTCGGTTGTATAAACTGCTGCACTCTAGGAAGGTCGGTTGTATAAACTGCTGCACTCTAGGAAGGTCGGTTGTATAAACTGCTGCGCTCTAGGAAGTCCAGAAAGCCTTTGGTTTAAGTGTGAGCTTATCATTATTATAATTATTTATGTTTTTATGCTGAGGTAACATGGATTCATGTTTTGTTTAAAGAATGGGGATGGCTATGTTGACTCCGAAGATAAAATGCAGCGGATCATCCTTGGAGTCCGTGCGGCCCTGCAGGGGTAGACATACAGGTGCACTAACCATGTCCTGATGCTCAAGAGGTAAGGCTCACCATCTACTTGGACGACATGTTGGTGTGGCATCATTCCTGGCCAGGCAGTACAGTTATCTCGCCAGTGGTGTATAAACCAAATAGTCTCCTGCACAGAGTGGGTTAAAATGGCCTGTCATGTGGTTAGTGCTATATTGAGGAGGGAGGATGTTATATTGAAGAGACATCCATGGATGTCCCTTACTGGTCTGATGGAGCTGACATCCATGGATGTCCCTTACTGGTCTGATGGAGCTGACATCCATGGATGGCCCTTACTGGTCTGATGGAGCTGACATCCGTGGATGTCCCTTACTGGTCTGATGGAGCTGACATCCATGGATGTCCCTTACTGGTCTGATGGAGCTGACATCCATGGATGGCCCTTACTGGTCTGATGGAGCTGACATCCATGGATGTCCCTTACTGGTCTGAGGGAGCTGACGTCCGTGGATGTCCCTTACTGGTCTGATGGAGCTGACATCCATGGATGTCCCTTACTGGTCTGATGGAGCTGACATCCATGGATGTCCCTTACTGGTCTGATGGAGCTGACATCCATGGATGGCCCTTACTGGTCTGAGGGAGCTGACGTCCGTGGATGTCCCTTACTGGTCTGATGGAGGTGACATCCATGGATGGCCCTTACTGGTCTGATGGAGCTGACATCCGTGGATGTCCCTTACTGGTCTGAGGGAGCTGACATCCGTGGATGTCCCTTACTGGTCTGAGGGAGCTGACATCCATGGATGGCCCTTACTGGTCTGAGGGAGCTGACATCCATGGATGTCCCTTACTGGTCTGAGGGAGCTGACATCCGTGGATGGCCCTTACTGGTCTGAGGGAGCTGACGTCCGTGGATGTCCCTTACTGGTCTGAGGGAGCTGACATCCGTGGATGTCCCTTACTGGTCTGATGGAGCTGACATCCATGGATGTCCCTTACTGGTCTGATGGAGCTGACATCCGTGGATGTCCCTTACTGGTCTGATGGAGCTGACATCCATGGATGGCCCTTACTGGTCTGAGGGAGCTGACGTCCGTGGATGTCCCTTACTGGTCTGATGGAGCTGACATCCATGGATGGCCCTTACTGGTCTGATGGAGCTGACATCCATGGATGTCCCTTACTGGTCTGATGGAGCTGACATCCATGGATGGCCCTTACTGGTCTGATGGAGCTGACATCCATGGATGTCCCTTACTGGTCTGATGGAGCTGACATCCATGGATGTCCCTTACTGGTCTGATGGAGCTGACATCCATGGATGGCCCTTACTGGTCTGATGGAGCTGACATCCATGGATGTCCCTTACTGGTCTGATGGAGCTGACATCCATGGATGGCCCTTACTGGTCTGATGGAGCTGACATCCATGGATGTCCCTTACTGGTCTGATGGAGCTGACATCCATGGATGTCCCTTACTTGTCTGAGGGAGCTGACATCCATGGATGTCCCTTACTGGTCTGATGGAGCTGACATCCATGGATGGGCCTTTTGGTCTGAGGGAGCTGACATCCGTGGATGTCCCTTACTGGTCTGATGGAGCTGACATCCATGGATGGCCCTTACTGGTCTGATGGAGCTGACATCCGTGGATGGCCCTTACTGGTCTGATGGAGCTGACATCCATGGATGTCCCTTACTGGTCTGATGGAGCTGACATCCATGGATGGCCCTTACTGGTCTGATGGAGCTGACATCCATGGATGTCCCTTACTTGTCTGAGGGAGCTGACATCCATGGATGGCCCTTACTGGTCTGATGGAGGTGACATCCATGGATGGCCCTTACTGGTCTGATGGAGCTGACATCCATGGATGTCCCTTACTGGTCTGAGGGAGCTGACATCCGTGGATGTCCCTTACTGATCTGAGGGAGCTGACATCCGTGGATGGCCCTTACTGGTCTGATGGAGCTGACATCCATGGATGGCCCTTACTGGTCTGATGGAGCTGACATCCATGGATGGCCCTTACTGGTCTGATGGAGCTGACATCCATGGATGTCCCTTACTGGTCTGATGGAGCTGACATCCATGGATGGCCCTTACTGGTCTGATGGAGCTGACATCCATGGATGGCCCTTACTGATCTGAGGGAGCTGACATCCGTGGATGTCCCTTACTGGTCTGATGGAGCTGACATCCATGGATGTCCCTTCCTGGTCTGATGGAGCTGACATCCGTGGATGTCCCTTACTGGTCTGATGGAGCTGACATCCATGGATGGCCCTTACTGGTCTGATGGAGCTGACATCCATGGATGTCCCTTCCTGGTCTGATGGAGCTGACATCCGTGGATGGCCCTTACTGGTCTGAGGGAGCTGACATCCATGGATGGCCCTTACTGGTCTGATGGAGCTGACATCCATGGATGGCCCTTACTGGTCTGATGGAGCTGACATCCGTGGATGTCCCTTACTGGTCTGATGGAGCTGACATCCATGGATGGCCCTTACTGATCTGAGGGAGCTGACATCCGTGGATGTCCCTTACTGGTCTGTTGGAGCTGACATCCATGGATGTCCCTTACTGCTCTGATAGAACTGATATGACTTTTGAGGCACTAACAAGATAAAATTAAGATAAAGAGAATTGGGAACCTGAGAAAAGGTGTGCTCTTCTATCAGGACAATGCACCAGTGCACAAATCAGTCATTGCCATGGCTACAATCCATGATTCCTTCAGGAACAACTCCTGATCTGGGTGTGTCCGACTTCCTCCTGCCTCTGTCCGACTTCCTCCTGGCTGTGTCCGCCTTCCTCCTGGCTGTGTCCGCCTTCCTCCTGGCTGTGTCCGACTTCCTCCTGGCTGTGTTGGACTTCCTCCTGGCTGTGTCCGACTCCCTCCTGGCTGTGTCCGCCTTCCTCCTGGCTGTGTCCGACTTCCTCCTGGCTGTGTCTGCCTTCCTCCTGGCTGTGTCCGACTTCCTCCTGACTGTGTCCGACTTCCTCCTGGCTGTGTCCGACTTCCTCCTGGCTGTGTCCGCCTACCTCCTGCCCGGTCCGACTTCCTCCTGCCTCTGTCCGACTTCCTCCTGGCTGTGTCCGACTTCCTCCTGACTGTGTCCGTCTTCCTCCTGACTGTGTCCGCCTTCCTCCTGACTGTGTCCGCCTTCCTCCTGGCTGTGTCCGCCTTCCTCCTGACTGTGTCCGACTTCCTCCTGACTGTGTCCGACTTCCTCCTGGCTGTGTCCGACTTCCTCCTGGCTGTGTCTGCCTTCCTCCTGGCTGTGTCAGCCTTCCTATTGGCTGTGTCCGCCTTCCTCCTGGCTGTGTCCGCCTTCCTCCTGGCTGTGTCCGACTTCCTCCTGGCTGTGTCCGCCTTCCTCCTGCCTTTGTCCGACTTCCTCCTGGCTGTGTCCGATTTCCTCCTGGCTGTGTCCGCCTTCCTCCTGGCTGTGTCAACATTCTTCCTTGCTGTGTCCAACTTCCTCCTGGCTGTGTCAACATTCTTCCTGGCTGTGACCAACTTCCTTCTCCTCCCAAACATTACGAAAGCTCCAGCCGGAACCCATTTTGACTTGAATGATGATATCATAGCTGAGAACATTTTGGACAGCCAAGATAAGGACTTCTACGAAACTGGGATTAAATCCCTCCAACATCATCAGCAAAATTGAAAGGGGGTTATTCTTTAAATATATATCAGATTTATTTCTTAATGTGAAGTCTATGTGAGGTTCATAACTTATGATTACCTCTTGTATAGTGTCATGTCTTAGCAGCTAAACAGAATATTGTAAAGACAAACGTGTGTTTTGTATTTGGGTTCGTTAAGGTATATTTAACTGTGCTAATGAATTGCAAGGATCTTTTCAATTGTCATCAGGAACTCAGCACTGCTCCCATGTTGGACCGAGGGGTATTTGATTCATGCCACTTCTTCAGTGTGGGCCCTTTTATGTGTGTTATCATTAAACTATACTCACACACAAAAGGTACACAAGTTGAGAATGCAGTATACATGTTATTTATTTTAAACAGTAAAGACAAGAAATACTAATAGGGCAAGGTTGACAAAAAAATGACTGAAGACAGTTTAATGGATTAAAAGGCAGATGACGATTGTTTTTTTTCAAATGTTAAGGGCTTACACAGTTTCGGGTCAATACCCAAAATGTCAGTCAATACCTGGTGTGACCACCATTAGCATTGATCACTGCAACACATTGAGTGGATCAGACGATTTGTGAAGGCCCTAGGGATCCCCCTGCACACATCCAGAGCAGCTGTTTGCAGACGCCATTGAACCTCATCCCACAAGTGTTCGATGGGGTTCAGATGGGGGTCTGATCACTTGGTCGATATACAGCTGAGCAGTAACGCTGTGTCCCCGACCTTGACCAACATTCAGAAAGCACATGGGTCCGAGTCTCACATTAAGTCCAATCCCTGCCCATATCATGACGCTAGGTCCACCCCAGGGATCCCGTTCCACAACGTTTCTGTCAGAGAAACGATCACCTCAACGCCGCCAAATTCTGACTCTTCTGTCTGCATTGGAGACACAAAAGCGACTTTCATCAGAGAAGACACGCCTCCACTCACGATGACGCCAATTGTGATGACCCTGTGCCCACTGAAGTCGTGCTTGTCGATGCCGTGGTTGGAGAACAGGACGAAGTGCTGGTCGGCGACATCTGAGGTTTGTGGAACGGAGACGTCGGATCACAGTGTCCTGGCTAATGCGTTGATTATGTGTTCCTATGGTCTGTCGAGCACTTTCACTTGCAGTTAGGAACGGATGTCGCTTGTGTTGACGGGTAATCTGCTGATCTTGTCGAGGTGTGGTGACCCTAGGACGACCACTCCGAGGAAGGTCATCTGTGGTCTGTGTAGCATTGTATCGATGCAGGAGACGGTAAATTGTGGTTATGTTAACGTTGAAATGACGGGCAACATCTTGGACAGACTCTCCAGCTTCCAAACGTCCGAAAGCCTGGTTTCTTTGAATTTGAGTTAGGCGTGGCATTGTTGACCAAGGAGTGGTAGGTCCAAGAATCGGACACAGTTTTATACCCACTACAGTTCGTGACAGTTCGTGCATTTTCGATTTCGAGAGAAATTGGTGCATGATACCCAAATATTCATTGAAATGGTGCGTTTTGGCGATTCGTTTTTTATGTTGCGTTTTTACTTGGGGCTTCCAAAATGCAACCAAAAATATTGATAACACCATCAGGCTTCACTACATGCTAAAACTCGTATCAATTTATGGTTCCGTGATTGTTACCTATTTGCTTAAACCACTTGCGTTTCTTTTGCGTGTGAGTATATAACACATTTATAACATGATTAATAATGTGTAATTTGATTTCTGTTTTCAGGCAAATACTTGGCTGTCATCCATTACGATTTACTTGTGTATGAAAGGTCAAGAATAAAGGACTAAGGTCGCAACCTTGACCTGGATGATTCAAGGTCAATCTCCTGGTGACTTTCAACTTTTTGTTCCCTTGACAACTGTTTGAACTAGTACAATGGAAAACCCTCCTAAAGCTGTGAGTTCAGTCTTCAGGTGCCTCAGGGAGTCTTCCATATACATGTTGACGTTGACATTTGATTAATAGTTGACACGTGTGATATTTTTCTCTTTCCTCTGAATTGAGGATGAAAATTGCAGTGCTACATCACAACATCTGTATACACAGGGATGTGAAATCTCCGTGGAAACCCGGAAAATCGTGTTTTTTAAAACAGTAGTCCTTGGAAAAAATCATCTTCCGAGTACAAATATAATCAAAGATTAAAAAAACCATTCCGCGGATTGTCCTGTTTTCGATCAGAGCTTTCAGCAGATTAGGTTTTCGGACATCAAACTTTAACGTGGGGTGTTGTGTCACACAGAAAGTGTAAATACTCCGAGTCAGGTGATGGCTTGTTTTTAAGATAAAGTTGTCTTTTAGCCTTTAAGTGAATGAGATGTTTTACAGTTGTTCATGTGATTAATGAGAAAACTATGAATGTTTGAGTGTATTACACCGAATCATTATTGCCTTTTGTTGGATGTGATCTGGTAAAACTCAGTTTGGAAATAACTTTTGCTTCCTTCTGTAATAAAATGTACACCAGTGTACAAGTATTGTCTTGTGCTTCTTGTCGTGTGTTTTTTGTCGTGTGTTTCTTGTCGTGTTTCTTGTCATGTGTTTCTTGTCATGTGTTTCTTGTCATGTGTTTCTTGTCGTGTGTTCTTGTCGTGTTTCTAGTCGTGTGTTTCTTGTCGTGTGTTTCTTGTCGTGTGTTTCTTGTCGTGTGTTTCTTGTGTGTTTTTTGTCGTGTGTTTCTTGTCGTGTTTCTTGTCATGTGTTTCTTGTCATGTGTTTCTTGTCGTGTGTTCTTGTCGTGTTTCTAGTCATGTGTTCTTGTTGTGTGTTTCTTGTCATGTGTTTCTTGTTGCGTGTTTCTTGTCGTGTTTCTTGTCGTGTGTTTCTTGTCGTGTGTTTCTTGTTGTGTGTTTCTTGTCGTGTGTTTCTTGTCGTGTATTTCGTGTGTTTCTTGTCGTGTGTTTCTTGTCATGTGTTCTTGTCGTGTGTTTCTTGTCGTGTGTTCTTGTCGTGTGTTCTTGTCGTGTGTTTCTTGTCATGTGTTCTTGTCGTGTGTTTCTTGTCGTGTGTTTCTTGTCGTGTGTTTCTTGTCGTGTGTTTCTTGTCATGTGTTTCTTGTCGTCTGTTTCTTGTGTGTTTCTTGTCATGTGTTACTTGTCGTGTGTTTCTTGTCGTGTGTTTCTTGTCATGTGTTTCTTGTCGTGTTTCTTGTCGTGTATTTCTTGTCGTGTGTTTCTTGTCGTCTGTTTCTTGTCGTGTGTTTCTTGTCATGTGTTTCTTGTCGTGTGTTTCTTGTCGTGTATTTCTTGTCATGTGTTTCTTGTCGTGTGTTTCTTGTCGTGTGTTTCTTGTCGTGTATTTCTTGTCATGTGTTTCTTGTCATGTGTTCTTGTCATGTGTTTCTTGTCGTGTGTTTCTTGTCATGTGTTTCTTGTCATGTGTTTCTTGTCGTGTGTTTCTTGTCATGTGTTTCTTGTCATGTGTTTCTTGTCCCGTATTTCTTGTCGTGTTTCTTGTCGTGTGTTTCTTGTCGTGTGTTTCTTGTCATGTGTTTCTTGTCATGTGTTTCTTGTCGTGTTTCTTGTCGTGTGTTTCTTGTCATGTGTTCTTGTCGTGTGTTTCTTGTCGTGTTTTCTTGTCGTGTGTTTCTTGTCATGTGTTTCTTGTCATGTGTTTCTTGTCATGTTTAACGTCGCACTCAGCAATATTCCACCTGTATGACCACGGTCTGTAAATAATGAAGTCTGTACCATGAGCATCCATCCACACAATTGGGATACGATGACATGCATCAACCAGGTCAGCAAGCCTGACCACCCGATCCCGTTAGTTGCCTCTTACAACAAGCATAGTCGCCTTTTATGGCAAGCATTGGTTGCCGAAGACCTATTCAGCCTTGCGAGAAGTAAGGTGAAGAGTTGATGGAAACATATTTATGATCATCCTGACAGAATCATATCCATAATAGATGCTTGTCACATGACAGTTGTAGTGATGGTGGTGGGTGAGTGAGTTAAATTTAATGTTGCATCTGCATTATTTCAGCCATATGGCAACAAAGTATTCATGATGGACATTTAAGCCTTCCACCTGCCATGCCTCTCCTCCACATGCCATGCCTCTCCCCCACCTGCCATGCCTCTCCCCCACCTGCCATGCCTCTCCCCCACCTGCCATGCCTCTCCCCCACCTGCCATGCCTCTCCTTCACCTGCCATGCCTCTCCCCCACCTGCCATGCCTCTCCTCCACATGCCATGCCTCTCCCCCACCTGCCATGCCTCTCCTTCACCTGCCATGCCTCTCCCCCACCTGCCATGCCTCTCCTTCACCTGCCATGCCTCTCCCCCACCTGCCATGCCTCTCCTCCACCTGCCATGCCTCTCCCCCACCTGCCATGCCTCTCCCCCACCTGCCATACTTCTCCCCCACCTGCCATGCCTCTCCCCCACCTGCCATGCCTCTCCCCCACCTGCCATGCCTCTCCTCCACCTGCCATGCCTCTCCCCCACCTGCCATGCCTCTCCCCCACCTGCCATGCCTCTCCCCCACCTGCCATGCCTCTCCCCCACCTGCCATGCCTCTCCCCCACCCCACCTGCCATGCCTCTCCCCCACCTGCCATGCCTCTCCCCCACCTGCCATGCCTCTCCCCCACCTGCCATGCCTCTCCCCCACCTGCCATGCCTCTCCCCCACCTGCCATGCCTCTCCCCCACCTGCCATGCCTCTCCTCCACCTGCCATGCCTCTCCCCCACCTGCCATGCCTCTCCCCCACCTGCCATGCCTCTCCCCCACCTGCCATGCCTCTCCCCCACCTGCCATGCCTCTCCTTCACCTGCCATGCCTCTCCCCCACCTGCCATGCCTCTCCTCCACCTGCCATGCCTCTCCCCCACCTGCCATGCCTCTCCCCCACCTGCCATGCCTCTCCCCCACCTGCCATGCCTCTCCCCCACCTGCCATGCCTCTCCTTCACCTGCCATGCCTCTCCCCCACCTGCCATGCCTCTCCTCCACCTGCCATGCCTCTCCCCCACCTGCCATGCCTCTCCCCCACCTGCCATGCCTCTCCTTCACCTTCCATGCCTCTCCTTCACCTTCCATGCCTCTCCCCCACCTGCCATGCCTCTCCTTCACCTGCCATGCCTCTCCCCCACCTGCCATGCCTCTCCCCCACCTGCCATGCCTCTCCCCCACCTGCCATGCCTCTCCCCCACCTGCCATGCCTCTCCCCCACCTGCCATGCCTCTCCCCCACCTGCCATGCCTCTCCCCCACCTGCCATGCCTCTCCTTCACCTGCCATGCCTCTCCCCCACCTGCCATGCCTCTCCTCCACCTGCCATGCCTCTCCCCCACCTGCCATGCCTCTCCCCCACCTGCCATGCCTCTCCTCCACCTGCCATGCCTCTCCTTCACCTTCCATGCCTCTCCTTCACCTGCCATGCCTCTCCCCCACCTGCCATGCCTCTCCTCCACCTGCCATGCCTCTCCTTCACCTGCCATGCCTCTCCTTCACCTTCCATGCCTCTCCCCCACCTGCCATGCCTCTCCTCCACATGCCATACTTCTCCTTCACCTGCCATGCCTCTCCTTCACCTGCCATGCCTCTCCCCCACCTGCCATGCCTCTCCTCCACCTGCCATGCCTCTCCTTCACCTGCCATGCCTCTCCTTCACCTTCCATGCCTCTCCCCCACCTGCCATGCCTCTCCTCCACATGCCATACTTCTCCTTCACCTGCCATGCCTCTCCTTCACCTTCCATGCCTCTCCCCCACCTGCCATGCCTCTCCTCCACCTGCCATGCCTCTCCTTCACCTGCCATGCCTCTCCTCCACCTGCCATGCCTCTCCTTCACCTGCCATGACTCTCCCCCACCTGCCATGCCTCTCCTCCACCTGCCATGCCTCTCCTTCACCTGCCATGCCTCTCCTCCACCTGCCATGCCTCTCCTTCACCTGCCATGCCTCTCCTCCACCTGCCATGCCTCTCCTTCACCTGCCATGCCTCTCCTCCACCTGCCATGCCTCTCCTCCTGCTGCCATGCCTCTCCTCCTGCTGCTATGCCTCTCCTCCACCTGCCATGCCTCTCCTCCACCTGCCATGCCTCTCCTCCTGCTGCCATGCCTCTCCTCCACCTGCCATGCCTCTCCTCCTGCTGCCATGCCTCTCCTCCACCTGCCATGCCTCTCCTCCTGCTGCCATGCCTCTCCTCCACCTGCCATGCCTCTCCTCCTGCTGCCATGCCTCTCCCCCACTTGCCATGCCTCACCCCCACTTTCTATGCCTCACCCCCACTTTCTATGCCTCTCCCCCACTTTCTATGCCTCTCCCCCACTTGCCATGCCTCACCCCCACTTGCCATGCCTCACCCCCACTTTCTATGCCTCTCCCCCACTTGTCATGCCTCTCCCCCACCTGCCATGCCTCTTCCCCAGTTGCCATGCCTCTTGAGTAGCAGCAGCCCAGTAGCAGCAGCCCAGTAGCAACAGCCCAGTAGCACCAACCCAGTAGCAACAGTCCAGGAGCAACAGCCCAGCATCAACAGCCCAGTAGCAACAGCCCAGGAGCAACAGCCCAGTAGCAACAGCCCAGGAGCAACAGCCCAGCAGCAACAGCCCAGTAGCAACAGCCCAGGAGCAACAGCCAAGGAGCAACAGCCCAGTAGCAAGAGCCAAGTAGCAACTACCAAGTAGCAACAGCCAAGGAGCAACAGCCCAGTAGCAAGAGCCAAGTAGCAACAACCCCAGCAGCAGCAGGTCAAGCAGCAAAAGCCCCAGCAGCAACAACAGCTGAACCAGCAGGAACATGCCAAGGCCTCTCTTCTAGCCCGCCAGTTGTTAATGGGGAGATCACTGCCTCCAGTGAAGTGGATAGGGTGTCTGCCAGGAGAGAGCTAGGTGGGTGAAGTGGATAGGGTGTCTGCCAGGAGAGAGCTAGGTCGGTGAAGTGGATAGGGTATCAGCCAGGAGAGAGCTAGGTGGGTGAAGTGGATAGGGTGTCAGCCAGGAGAGAGGAAGGTTGCTGAAGTAGATAGGGTGTCAGCCAGGAGAGAGGAAGGTTGGTGAAGTGGATAGGGTCTCTGCCAGGAGAGAGGAAGGTTGCTGAAGTAGATAGGGTGTCAGCCAGGAGAGAGCTAGGTTGGTGAAGTGGATAGGGTCTCTGCCAGGAGAGAGGAAGGTTGCTGAAGTAGATAGGGTGTCAGCCAGGAGAGAGGAAGGTTGCTGAAGTAGATAGGGTGTCAGCCAGGAGAGAGGAAGGTTGCTGAAGTAGATAGGGTGTCTGCCAGGAGAGAGGAAGGTTGCTGAAGTAGATAGGGTGTCAGCCAGGAGAGAGGAAGGTCGGTGAAGTGGATAGGGTGTCTGCCAGGAGAGAGGAAGGTTGCTGAAGTAGATAGGGTGTCAGCCAGGAGAGAGGAAGGTTGCTGAAGTAGATAGGGTGTCGGCCAGGAGAGAGGAAGGTCGGTGAAGTAGATAGGGTGTCAGCCAGGAGAGAGGAAGGTTGCTGAAGTAGATAGGGTGTCAGCCAGGAGAGAGGAAGGTCGGTGAAGTGGCTGCATCATTCGTTTAGAGATGGTACTTGTTGTTTCCGACCTTGGAGGGCTTGAGTATCATGTGTCTGAGGAGTAACCATGTCACCCTGCGGCATGGTATCTCCGACCCTGGAGGGCTTGAGTATCATGTGTCTGAGGAGTAACCATGTCACCCTGCGGCATGGTATCTCCGACCCTGGAGGGCTTGAGTATCATGTGTCTGAAGAGTAACCATGTCACCCTGCGGCATGGTATCTCCGACCCTGGAGGGCTTGAGTATCATGTGACTGAGGAGTAACCATGTCACCCTGCGGCATGGTATCTCCGACCCTGGAGGGCTTGAGTATCATGTGTCTGAGGAGTAACCATGTCACCCTGCGGCATGGTATCTCCGACCCTGGAGGGCTTGAGTATCATGTGTCTGAGGAGTAACCATGTCACCCTGCGGCATGGTATCTCCGACCCTGGAGGGCTTGAGTATCGTGTGTCTGAGGAGTAACCATGTCACCCTGCGGCATGGTATCTCCGACCCTGGAGGGCTTGAGTATCATGTGTCTGAGGAGTAACCATGTCACCCTGCGGCATGGTATCTCCGACCCTGGAGGGCTTGAGTATCATGTGTCTGAGGAGTAACCATGTCACCCTGCGGCATGGTATCTCCGACCCTGGAGGGCTTGAGTATCATGTGTCTGAGGAGTAACCATGTCACCCTGCGGCATGGTATCTCCGACCCTGGAGGGCTTGAGTATCATGTGTCTGAGGAGTAACCATGTCACCCTGCGGCATGGTATCTCCGACCCTGGAGGGCTTGAGTATCATGTGTCTGAGGAGTAACCATGTCACCCTGCGGCATGGTATCTCCGACCCTGGAGGGCTTGAGTATCATGTGTCTGAGGAGTAACCATGTCACCCTGCGGCATGGTATCTCCGACCCTGGAGGGCTTGAGTATCATGTGTCTGAGGAGTAACCATGTCACCCTGTGGCATGGTATCTCCGACCCTGGAGGGCTTGAGTATCATGTGTCTGAGGAGCAACCATGTCACCCTGCGGCATGGTATCTCCGACCCTGGAGGGCTTGAGTATCATGTGTCTGAGGAGTAACCATGTCACCCTGCGGCATGGTATCTCCGACCCTGGAGGGCTTGAGTATCATGTGTCTGAGGAGTAACCATGTCACCCTGCGGCATGGTATCTCCGACCCTGGAGGGCTTGAGTATCATGTGTCTGAGGAGTAACCATGTCACCCTGCGGCATGGTATCTCCGACCTTGGAGGGCTTGAGTATCATGTGTCTGAGGAGTAACCATGTCACCCTGTGGCATGGTATCTCCGACCCTGGAGGGCTTGAGTATCATGTGTCTGAGGAGTAACCATGTCACCCTGCGGCATGGTATCTCGAGTGTAAGAAATAGTGGTATAACACTATAACACCAGCATGAGTACAATCATCTCTAATATTAAAGGACAGTTCAGCTCAGCCACGGCAAAGAATGAGGAGGGTGAGTGAAGGAAGGAAGAAAGGAAGGGGTCTGTGAATGATTGTGTGAGCAATTGTTTGTGTTCCTCCGATCTTGGTATCATTGACTTCTTCACCAATGAGTAAAGGGGTGAGTGAAGGAGTGACTTTGAGTAGGTGAAGGCGACGTGAGGTGAAATGGGGTTTAACGTCGCATACAAGATTATTACACTTAAATAGCGACAAGCATGTCTGTGTGGCTGCTAGTACTGTCACACCCAACAGGACCTCCCTGTGTCACACCCAACATGACCTCAGTGTGTCGCCCCCAACATGACCTCCCTGTGTCACACCCAACATGACCTCACTGTGTTACACCAACCATGACCTCACTGTGTCACACTGACGTGGGTAGAGGTCCATTGTTCTCCAGAAATATTCTCCACTCTGTAAAAATCATGTCGGGACAAGGAGGCTAGTCTACTAAATCACTTTGTTGACACTGGTTGCACGTACATTCCCCGACGCAGTGTCGTTGGCGAGACACCGGTGGCAGGACACACGGTAAGTGGGAGTGTTACATGCACGGACATACAGGGAGACGGAATTCTGGTGGAACATACAATAGTTCCTCAAAAAGTGGAGGTATATGATTCTTCAGAAATACTAGGGAACGAATGAATAAAGGAGTGGGTGAAGGAATGAGTAAAGGAATGGGTGAAGGAATGAGAAAAGGTGTGGGTGAAGGATTGAGTAAAGGTGTGGGTGAAGGAATGAGAAAAGGAGTGGGTGAAGGATTGAGAAAAGGTGTGGGTGAAGGATTGAGAAAAGGTGTGGGTGAAGGAATGAGAAAAGGAGTGGGTGAAGGATTGAGAAAAGGTGTGGGTGAAGGAATGAGAAAAGGAGTGGGTGAAGGAATGAGAAAAGGAGTGGGTGAAGGAATGAATAAAGGAGTGGGTGAAGGAATGAGTAAAGGAATGGGTGAAGGAATGAGAAAAGGTGTGGGTGAAGGATTGAGAAAAGGTGTGGGTGAAGGAATGAGAAAAGGAGTGGGTGAAGGATTGAGAAAAGGTGTGGGTGAAGGAATGAGAAAAGGAGTGGGTGAAGGAATGAGAAAAGGTGTGGGTGAAGGATTGAGAAAAGGTGTGGGTGAAGGAATGAGAAAAGGAGTGGGTGAAGGAATGAGTAAAGGTGTTGAAGGAATGAGTAAAGGAATGTATGAAGGAATGAGTAAAGGAGTATGAAGGAATGAGTAAAGGGGTGTATGAAGGAATGAGTAAAGGGGTGTATGAAGGAATGAGTAAAGGTGTGGGTGAAGGAATGAGTAAAGGAAGGAATGAGTAAAGGAGTGTATGAAGGAATGAGTAAAGGAGTATGAAGGAATGAGTAAAGGGGTGTATGAAGGAATGAGTAAAGGTGTGGGTGAAGGAATGAGTAAAGGAAGGAATGAGTAAAGGAGTGTATGAAGGAATGAGCAAAGGGGTGTATGAAGGAATGAGTAAAGGGGTGTATGAAGGAATGAGTAAAGGAGGGTGAAGGAATTGGGTAAAGGAGTGGGTGAAGGAATGAGTAAAGGTGTGAGTGAAGGAATGAGTAAAGGAGTGTATGAAGGAATGAGTAAAGGGGTGTGTGAAGGAATGAGTAAAGGGGTGTATGAAGGAATGAGTAAAGGAGTGTATGAAGGAATGAGTAAAGGGGTGTGTGAAGGAATGAGTAAAGGGGTGTATGAAGGAATGAGTAAAGGAGTGTATGAAGGAATGAGTAAAGGAGTGTATGAAGGAATGAGTAAAGGGGTGTGTGAAGGAATGAGTAAAGGGGTGTATGAAGGAATGAGTAAAGGAGTGGGTGAAGGAATGAGAAAAGGAATGGGTGAAGGAATGAGTAAAGGAATTGGTGAAGGAATGAGTAAAGGAGTGGTGAAGGATTGAGTAAAGGTGTGAGCATAGGAATGAGTAAAGGGGTTTATGAAGGAATGAGTAAAGGAGTGGGTGAAGGAATGAGTAAAGGTGTGAGCATAGGAATGAGTAAAGGAGTGTGTGAAGGAATGAGTAAAGGAGTGGGTGTAGGAATGACTGATGGAGTGTGTGAAGGGTGATTCAATGAAAGGGTGAGTCAGAGAAGGGAGGCGGTTAGGCAGTGAATGAAATATGTTTTGGAATAATATAAGTTTGAAGCTTATTAGCAACATGAATTAAGAAATGTCAGCCTTACGCAATCGGCTAGATAAGTGAGTAACTCCAAAGACATCTGTTGTTGCCCTGATCTCGTGGAGTCGAGCAGAATGACCTGAAAAAGTAAAACATGAACTTTACTCATAAATAAAACAGACACTTGACCAAGCAACAAGTCAAGGAATACTTCAATACAAGTGCAATGTCAATACACCAACATAAACTGTTCAACAGTGTTATGACAATAAAATCATAAATTTCCTTTTCAAACATAGAAACATGTTAAACTTACATTACTTCATCAACATACCTCTACAATACACGCTATATACAGCACCGAGCAAAGCAATGAATAAACCTCAAATCTGAGACAAGCTAATCAAAAGAACCCAATTCAGATGACGTAATGATATACTAACGGAAAAAATGTAAATGTGTTTCGCTTAAAGTTCTATAAAAATGTATATATTCTGAAAATAAATGTTGCATTTTTCAATACATATTCATGAAGACATCTCGACTTCAAGGTGGTGAATCACAATTTGGCCGTGCATGTTAATTTACGGCGCACACTTTTCGTGTTTCTTGGGAGCCTGAGACTCGCACACGTGTTTCTTAGGAGCCTGAGACTCGCACACCTGTTTTTTTCTAACGCTGACCTGCATACCATGACTACTTAGGTATCAGGTGCTCATGAAAACAATTTTGTTCAGCCGTGCATTGTTTACTCAATACGCTTTCCTGAAAACCAACGTCTACGCGCGGTGCGTATGCTGCAAACAGGACATTTTTTAGATGTTTTAGATGCCAGACCTTTTAATGTTTATCATAACACACAATATCATATCCTTGGAACTACAGCAGGGCAACACTCATGGACTTGCCACGGGCCGAATATCCACGTGTGACGTCACGTCAACAAGACAACCATATTCAGTTGGTGCATCTACGAAATCTATACCAAACTGCCACATTTACAGCTTGGTCAATTCCTGGGTTGAGACCAAATAGTGGCAGAACCGTCCGCAACCGGTCGAGGGAGCACAACGTCCGGCCCCGACGTCCAGCGATACGCAAAATTGTGCTTCTACGTCACCGTCAGGCACGCCTTGCTTGGTGAAAAAATCATCTGATGTTCAGAAGACAAGACTGGGACAGTATTCTGTTCACAGATTGGTCCAAGTTTTATCTAGACAGCTCTGATGCCATGCTGTACTGCCATGACTGGCCGTTTCTCCAGACATCTCCCTTAAGAAAACATGTATAGGATGAGATAAAACGACATCTGCGACAGGACCAGAACCTGCCGACATCGCTAATTAGACCGGATTTTGGTTTACATTTGGAACATCAGCCCCCCCAGGCTGTTTTCAACCATCTGGTGTCTTCAATGCGCCGCCGCTGCCTCGCATGTATCAACGTAAATGGTATTCACTCACTGAGCTGTTATACCACCCCTCTTTAAAGGCGTGGCGCTCTGTGTCCTGTTACCCAGGTATGGAATTTGTCGATGAATTTGTTCTGAAAAAAACCAGTTATCAGACGAATGACCAAACATTATGTTGTTATTTTCATTAACATAACATTTACACAGTTACTTTTTCCGTTGGTATAAAACAACCCAACTATAGGTACACTCTACCAACCCATCATATAAACCCTTGAAAACCTTGGAAAAAGCAAGCTCGTTGTATTGATGAGATGCGTTTACCGCCAGAAATACCTTCAAAGATGTGTTTGTGAGATTAGTTTAACGTCCGATAGCATCAGGAAACCTGTAATATATATGATTGACTGTACTTGAAAAAAGAATAAAATAACAAGAAAACAAATTTCATGCGTGTTTATTTGACTGCCACATATATATGCGACCCGTGAAGAATAGATCTTCAGAGGCGACTAACGGGTTCGGGTGGTCAGGCTAGCTGATTTTGTTGATGCATTTCATCGTATCCCAGTTGTGTAGATCGATGCTCATGATTTCAATCACTGGATTGACTGGTCCAGACTGGTACAGACCGCCGTCATATAGGTAGAATATTGCTGAGTGCGGCGTCAAACAACAAACAATCAAGCAAACATATATATGCAAACATATATGATACAGTTGTATCTTTAGAGAGCATGTCAAAAAGGGAGAAAACAAGGTCTGAACAATAACATATTCCTATTTAGATTTGTTTGTTGTTTAATGTCAATATTGTAGTTGTTGACAATATTAGAACCGTTGTTGTTTGTTGACATTCAGGTACGTCACTGACCATCTGATCCGGTCTCGTCACAGCAGAGTGTTGTGAATCTGTTCTCGCCCGTGTACAGACGGAGTTATCTCTGCTCAGGTTGCCACGTGGTGGATGGCGTCAACTGACTAACGTTGGGATACCTCAGTCCTGTGTGTAGAACCCGGATGGTTGATCAAACTTTGACACTGACTCGGTTGTGCTGCGTTCATTACCTGTTTGTTACTCTGTGGGCAATACCCAGGCCACTTCAATGTACCAGGAATACATAAACGAACTTAAACATTACATGTTCTTTTGTTTCAGATGGCTGCCGCCAGAAAGCTGGAGAGTCTGAATGAGAACTTCCCGACCTGCTCAGTTTGTACGGAGGGATACAAAGACCCCTGTACTCTGACCTGTGGCCACACCTTCTGTAAGGGCTGCCTGGGGAAATTCCTGAAGACCAGACAAGACGCCATCAGAGCCAAGTCCACCCCGTGTCCCTACTGTCGTCAGATGACCCAAGCTCCCCAGCCTGACAGACCAGTGGAGGAGTGGGTGAAACAGATCAAACCCAGTTTCCTCATACAGGGACTTCTGGACACTCTAGCCTGTGGGGGAAATACCACTGATAGTAAGTAAACGTAATGAAAAAAGGCGAAAGATCATCTCATTCTTGAAGCTTCTCTTGAATTATGCCTGGAGAACGGAACATCGGTGGTTCTATCCCCGGGTACAAGAACTGGTTCCAGAACATCTTGGATGTACTGATTCCCCGTGAGATTGTACTGTATTGCGTCCAGGTTCAGCTTGTCTCACGTTTCTCGCGCGATAACATGCTGAACCTGGACGCCAAATCAGTACTGAGTCTCTGCCATAAGGGGCGTACGTTGGCCCGATGTTCCTGGGTGTATGGGCCGTATTCAGGTGCCTCCCTGACACAAGCAGAACCTGCTCTCGTACAACCAATGGATCTTCCTCAAGGTTCTCAGATCCCAAACCCGAGGTGCTTATCACCATGCCAGACGGAGCCTCTGATCTCCCAGAAGGGGGCTTTTGATGACTCCCCTGGGCGCCATTCCTGCTGCCCTAAAGCGGTTTCTGAACATTCGACATACACCGATTGTCGTTTGATGACACGACTCTTTGCAAATGCCTGCCGTTGTACTAATCGAAGCAGTGCCCTGTCTTTCTGATCGTGGAAGGTCCTTCATGGCATTGGTTTGAGCATGCTTTCTCACCAATCGGCTGCTTACAGTGTAATGGTGGCCCGGTTGATGCCCCATATCTTTGAGGGAGAAGGCATTCCAAGTATTTGTCATCTTGCGCCTCTGATATCCTCCTTCGAGACATGTTCACAGTGAATCATGAACCCTTGCCTTGCCATGACATGTTTTGATACAGACAACTGCTGCCATCCCTGCCAGGATCTTGGAGAAAGTCATCCGGCCAACTCCTACTGTCAAGACTGTGATGTGCCGCTCTGTGAGAGATGTGTGAAAATGCATGCGTCTCTTCCTGCAACGTCAAAGCACGTGATTGCTGACCTTGGTGGAGCAGTGAAGGTCACTAAACGACAGAGACCAAGGTGCACAGAACACAATGACGACTTGGATTTCTGCTGCAGAGACTGTAACAGAGCAATATTCCCCAAGTGTTGTGCCTTATACCACAGGAAATGCGACTCTGTGTTCACTATTCAGTCCATAATGTCTGAGATGAGAAGTGTTCTTACACACAATAAGGGATTGATTACACAGAGCTTTGACGACACGGGCAGATCACTTCAACAACACAGATCACAGATTGATGCGATCAGCCACAACAAAGACAAAATTAAGTCACAGATCAGACAGGCCTCACAGAAAGCCATGGACGTGATTAAAGAGAAGGAGAACCAGCTGCTGGAGGAGCTGAATGAGATGACAGAGAAGCAGTCTGGCCAACTAAGGGGGCGGATAAAGTCAGGGGAAATAGACATGCAGATGTATCAACAATACATAGAGTACATCACCCAGATGTTGAAGTCTGGGAGTGAGACTGACATGTTTGGCATGTACCAAATGTGTCGGTCAGGGGCAATCAAGAAGGCAACAGACAGGGATGTCACTTTCACAGACAGTGGTCAAGATACAAATCTTATATTTGTGAATGAAATAGATGAGAGGAAATTACACAAGGATGTACAACTTGGTAGAATTCAACAGAACATTTATGACGTTATATATACGCAAATTGGTAAAACACAGAGTGGCACATTTGACGTCATGTGCAGACCAGTGTTACACAAGACAGTCGGCATTAGGGTCGATGGCGACAAGAAGCAGCCGTATCCATCTGACGTCACAGTCCTGGTTGTGGATGGTGAGGAGACACTGGTGGTCACAACTACAACAATAAATGTCTGAAATCCTTCTGCACAAAGAATGACATATCACAACACAGTAAACTGGATCTTCCAAGTAACCCAAGATCTGTGACGAGGCTGAGGGACAACCAGATGGCTGTATCAGTCTGGGCACACAATGAGATTGTAATAGTACGGGTCACCCCTGACCTTGTACTACAGTCACGTGTCACAACAAAGAAGAAGTACACATGTCTAACAGACTTGAGTCCTTCAACATTAGCAGCAGGTTGTTGGGATCCTCCCTGTGTTGACATCCTGGATGTATCGGGGAGAGTAATGAGGTCAGTCAGTGCACTCAACACACGGGATATATAACCCTATTTTCCTCTGTGCTACAGACAGGGGCAACATCCTGGTGTCAGATTCTGGGCCGCACTCTGTCTACTGTATCACACCAGAGGGAGATGTTGTGTTCACCTACACCCCTACAAGAGTCAAGAGACTGGACAGACCACAGAGTATGACAACTACCGACACAGGACACATCCTGGTGGCAGACCTGGGAGCACGCAAGGTGGTACTACTGACACAAGCAGGGGAGTTTGTCAGAGACCTGCTGACGTCACAAAATGGAATAGAAAACCCAAACAGCTTGTTTCTCTGTGGACATAAACTGTATGTGTTGGGATACAATAGAGATGTTGTGAAGGTATTCATGTGCAATACACCCCAGTGAGACGTCAGTTACACACAGACAACAAACCCTAGCACCATGTCTCAGGAACTGTCAGTTTATGTGAAACTGACATCCAAGAAGATTGTGTAACTTGAGGGGTCGAGTGGTGAACCGAACATGCAGAAGACACATTCATGTAGTTTCTTGAACATAATCAACCAACTTCATCACGTGTGTTTGTATATGAGAATGTTAACTTGTATTTCAAATTCCAAAATGTATTCAAAAAATCTTTATCGTCCTGTGATTTATACAGGAATATTCAATATTCAGACGTCCTTGGAAAACTAGGCTTTGCTTCTTGTACATTTTCTGTTGCGAATGTCCATGAATGTGTGACCGTTCCTTAACATATTAATGGTTAACAATGTAGATGTTCCTCACTGGATATACTCATATAAAATTCAAGAAAAGGTTCACTGTGTAATTCATTCAACGGGTTGAAGGCGGATATCATTTTCTGCTTGAAGTTCTTACTATTGTCAGTTTAGTATCAGTTTGACAGATGCATTGTATCTTGTATTATACATTCATGTACATACAGACTGTATTTCATTTTAAATTTTGTAGCAATATTTGTATTAGCATTTGATTTACAAATGCAAGTATTTTTAAACTAATGAACGCTTTTTCTATCAACGGGTTTCACCATTTTGAAACAGATTATACTCAATAGACCAAAGAAGTTTTAAGGGTTCAATCTATTTTAGTTTAGTATCATTCAGTAGCATTGATGATGGGGATACTGGACCACCCCATCTGGACCAGGTCCAGCTCCTGAAAATGTTCAGGTCTTAAGTTTGATTAATTATGTGATGACGATCTAATGATCATCATATTATCAAGATGCCGACCTATATCGAGGAAATAATTTATTCTTATTCCTTGGTTTTGGTACGGAATGTGTAGCGTGCTTGTCCTATGAAGTTGTTTTTCTCATCTTCATTAGTGCCACAGTCTAGTGAGAATTTGTCTTAATCTCTGTGTTTTAATTAGTGAGTTCTGACAATACTAAACGAAACTCTTCCTCAGATATCTTACCATTAGCTTGTGCTGCTGAGATATGATCCTCAATGCTCTTTAATTTTGCTTCAGCCAGCACACAAATACTATCATGTTTTAAGGCTTACTATTGCATCCAGGGAGAAATATATTAAGAGCTGTTCCTGCCACTCCAGAGACTCTGGCTGGCGATAACAGTTGATAATAAGCCAACACCGTCTACACCAAGACCCCACTAGTTACTAAAAGTACAGTGTCTTCTCCATGAAGAGCATTCACAGCTCTATGATACTTTTTATACAAATCAATTCTCCAGTTGCTCTTTAATTCCACTTATTTGTTGTAATTGAAATTCATTTACAGTATCCATCTTTTCAAACACTTCATGGAGTGCAGGATATAAATTCATTATGTATATCATATAAGAGTGTTTAAATGTTCCAATGGCAATGTCTTGAGACTATGCATCATAGGCAGTTTGGCCGGGTATAGGTTTTAACATGGAGTCTATATACGTTTCATGTATTCCCTCAGTTAAGTTAAAATGCTCATATGTATTTAAGTATTCATAGTGCTGTAACGTAAAACGATACATGGCAGTCTGTGAGTTGAGACTTGACCCTTGGACAGCGGCTAGGCTGGTGGACCCTCTAGCTTACGTCTCCGAGAGACTTACTACATGGATATGATGTAGCAGGATACTATTAGAGAATAAACATTGTGGACCCACAGACAGACGGGTGTTGCAGAAATACCCGGTAGAACACCAACTTCTACCTGGGATATATGCATTAACCTTATTATTATGTTATTAGGCATAAATATTTTAGTGAGTCAAATGATCCCTGCATCAAACTGGATCCCAGCAATATAAGGTAACTCTTGATGATTTCAAATACTGCTACAAATATGTCACTCTTGTTTTTTTTGTCTCAGTTAAGCCTTAGACCCAGTCATACCTCGAGATAATCTTCTGGTGCATCCCCAAGCAAGACTTCGATAAAAAGTGTAGAGCCTCCAGCTAAAGATCAAACTTAAGCCAATATTTTAAAAGTTGGGCGGCTCATTAACATATGGTTTCCTTTGGTATTGGAGCAATGAATACACTTTTTCATTCTGATGGGATATAAGCCTCCCACTGTTCATTATTTTATCTAAATCATGTGTCTTACCCTTCGGCATTACATGTAGTTGACTAACGGTGATATTTAGTAGCCAGTCGATGTTTGCTTCGAGCATAATCCGTTGATAACATCATTGAGGGCAAGATTGTACAAGTTGTTATAACTGGGATTTCTAACCTCAACATCTTGTAAATCTCCTATATAAGGTGCCACACTAGCAGCAGTAAATATAACATCTTCCACTTGTTTATACCATCTTGCAAGTGTAAAACATATAACATGTCTTGAATTACAGGTCTATGAAATCCTTCGGTGTCTCCAAGATCAGAAAGTGCAATTGTATTACATTGTTTAAGGTGATGCATTCCAGGACCTGCAGAATCAACCATTATTAATAATATGAAGTGACACGCTCAAATATCCTATATGGACAGGTTGATGTTTTATATCTAAAAACAGAAACTTTGAGTTCTGTATTAATGCCTTTCCTTAACTTCTTACACTGCAAAGATAAGAAAGATTCTGTTCTATCACTGTTGTATTTTTCATCTTTGACTGGAATAGCCCTCAGCAGAGTTGGAGACTTTCATGTTGGACATTATCTGTTGTACTAATCTGGTCAAAGGGATGCACCAGTCTGGAGAGGGAACTAAATTGGTTAGTCTTTCTCCACTCTTACTTGTGCTTGGTCCAACTTCTTTTCCTGCAAATCCAAGTATATTTGCAAATTCACCAGCAGGTTTTTTACTATTTTGTATTGATATTTTGCATTTTGTGTGATACTAGCACCATAAGGCTTACAGATTTCAGTATTGAGTATTAACTTCAGTTGAAGCAGCAGTGTCTGTTAAGTCATCAAGTTTTATCCGTTTTATATTAGATATTAAAAATATATGTTTACCACAATCATGTCTTTGCAATACAGACGCAAGTTAAATCCACAAGGTAGACTGCACAACCCATCAGGTGCCAAAGCAATTCACCAGTCTGTAACTATAATTAATAATCCGAGTACCATTGATCAGAATCAGACACTTCTGGTTCGCTTTCCAAATATCGGTACTCATTATGTGATGCTTCCAGGAACTGCGCAACAAGCTTTGAGTTTGATGTATGCTGATGATAGCAGGGAGCTTGTTCAGAACAAAGGTCGAGCAACTGTACAAAAAACCCTATTAAAATGAGTGGTTATGAGGTCTTGAGTATTGATGACAGTGATGTATACTACTGTTATATGGATCTCTGGATAACGGCAGGAAAACGGAAAAACTTACTCTACCAAGGTATAGGTACAAGCAATAATCGGAAATTCAACGAGACTGCGTGTAGGTTCCTTTATTGGCCTTGATCATTTTTGAGGTGAGGTGAAATGGGGTTTAACGTCGCGTCCAAGATTATTGGACTTATATAGCGACGTGCAAGTACGTGTGTGTGTGTGTTTGTGTGGCTGCTTGTACTAGTCCGGACTGATGCCGATTTATAGTGCTAGCTCGTTGAGATACCATGCCGCAGTTTAACATGAATACCCCACTCAGACACAGTATACTGACTCCAAGCCGACCAGTCCTTGTTTTAGCCCCTTAAAGGGGCACTGATCTAAAGCATTTCCCCGGGACTGGTTGTTGCCTTTGTTATTGTTTTTACCCAGTGAGTACCTGGATGTATAGCAGAAATCTAGACTAGTTCGCGACCTCTGCTGCGCCATTCGTAAGTGCATTAGTCCATTTTATGGGTAGTAAAAAGGGCGTATGGTCACACCGATCATTAAAATGAAATACAGTTTTCGAGATAATAAAGAAATGTAGGTATCTCTGTGGGTTGCATCGGTAATGATGACGAAGTTTTGATAAGTCACTTGCTTGGTAATTTTGCGATTTCCATTTACACTATTTTGACTTGCAACACAAAGTAAATATTGCTTTTTTTATAGTGTGTATATTTTTTACTGTCAAAATGGGTAACATTTTCAAATTTATTAAATGCCTAAATATTCAGTTATTTTACAAAGTGACTGAAAAACATTTCCATCTGTATTATTATGATAATATTATGATTCCAAATATTTTGATGTTTAATGTCATCAAGTACAACAAGTACCATATTTTAATGTCTTTTGGTATGACGCGATCGGGGATCGAACCCCGGACCTTCCGCTGATCGTTTTTGAGAAGATGAGGCTATACCTGATGCATTAGGTAACTGATTCTATATTCCACTTGAATTTGAATAACTAGAGAGTCACGTGCCCTTCTACAAAGCATCACTAGGTGATATGTTAGAATATGAACTTACTTTTAATGACTACCACAGAGTAATCAGAACCACCGGTGAAGAAGCTAGCTTTACATTAACAATATCTCACTGGAGTGTGAGGCTGGTAAATAAAACTTATATTTGTATGTGATTATGGATGTTCAACTTAATAAACAAAATGGATGGAACATTCTATTAATATTCTTTTACTATAGGAACCTCACTGCACTATCCTATGTGGGCAAATTGGTTTTGGTAAAACAGCTTTTATTCTCGAAATTTTATAAGGCAATTTTTACAAATTTTTGTGCATGTCATTATTCAAAGTCCAACCATAAACGTTAATAAAATATACCCATGAAGAAAATGGAGAATGGAGGTTCCCT